CAGCATCACGCCATCGCCTTTAATTTTCCCAGACTCTGCATCTCCAGCCCACTCAGGGCTGGGGTGCTACCGGGATCCAAAATCACTTTGAAAAGTCTGGCCTTAAATTTTGGATATTTTACTGTTTGTCATTTTTATATTTAGTATATTTTTTTATGTTAGAACGATTCCTGTACATTTTCCATGTGTTTATAAATAATACAATATTGCCACTGTTTAAAATCAAAATGTTAAATGGTCTGTCAAATTAATCATTCTGAATGGCATGAGTTATGAATATCAATATTTTAGAGCGACCTACGAACTCCATTCCTGTTGGTTATTTACTGCTTAGATAAGTCTATCACATTATTTTTGTTTCCTTGCTGGCACCTTTCCATCTTTTCAGATGATAGTGTCCTATATGGGGGGGGGGGGTGGGGGGGGGGGGGGGGCATGACTATGGCGAGTGTGACTAGCAAGAGCCGTCCCATGCTAAGAAAAGTCTTCCACAATTAGAGCATGGCATTTTAAATGCCATCACATGTATTTCGTGTATTAATTAGAAAATGTTTCCCACCGTCAAAAGCAACTTGTGGCGCCCTCGTCTACACCAAGCAACATGGACTTATCACCCATAAGTGCCGCCCCTAGATTTGTTTCCGAGACTCAATAAGGTCAGAGATGAAGTTCCCCCTGTCAGTCTCCTTCTTCGCGTTCACCCGCTGTAAACTCTGGCGGAAAGTTCTGCATTGCAGTCGTGATCCAGAACCTAAGTTTTGCGTGTGCATCCTTTTTACATATCTGACTCATTTGTGTGCAGACTGCTGGTTCCTTGCCTCTCATGCAAATGCAGTCCGACTTCGAAGGAAGCTCCCAACTAATCTACTCTTACGACGAGCTTTTGGGGTAGGCAGTGGTTATATTCTTGTTTTCCCCACAATAGGGCCCCGGAACCTACTCGGGAAACACCTCTCAGTAATATAGAGCCTGAGCAGTATTTTAGAGACCAAAGGTTGCCCATATATCAAGATCCTTCCCTCAGCTTGTCTTGTTTGCTTCAAAGAAAAGGTAACACCAGTACGTTTGGAACAAAGCACACTGCAGAAACTTGATGTTGAGACCAATTTTATTGACAAACTTTTTCTGCAGCCACAGGTTCACACACTTGCTATAGTATGTAACAGTACGCAATGTAGCGACATGTTATGCAGAAGTACCATGTGTACAGAAAGTGACATCGTATGTAGTAGTACCATGTGTACAGAAAGCGACGTGTTATACAGTAGTACCATGTGTACAGAAAGCGACATGGTATGCAGCAGTACCATGTGTACAGAAAGTGACGTCTTATGCAGCAGTACCATGTGTACAGAAAGTGAAATGTTATGCAGCAGTACCATGTGTACAGAAAGCGACGTGTTATGTAGTAGTACCATGTGTACAGAAAGCGACGTGTTATGCAGCGGTACCATGTGTACAGAAAGCGACGTGTTATGCAGCGGTACCATGTGTACAGAAAGCGACATGGTATACAGCATGCCTTTAGATGATACAGTCAATGATCTTGCATTGGGAAGTCAAGAGGAAAATGTTTCAAATTGAAACTTAGCGCCTTTCAAGTATTATCTTACATAAATTCGGCGATTTTGCAAACATTCTTCATTATTACCTTTAATATTAAAAAAATTAAACGGCAAATATTTCCATTATCCATTTTATGTATGATAGCGAATCTTGGAATGTCAGTTAACAAATTAGGAAGAATTTGAAGGCAACAGAGATGTGGTTTCTGAGACGAATGTTACGAATACCTTGGACGGCCGAGGCAACTAACAACGACTGCTTGAAAGAAGCTAATAAAAGTAGATCTTTATATACAACAATAAGAAAGAGACAAACACTGTTCTTTTGCCACATAATGAGAAGAGAGACATTGGAGAACATCGTGACAACTGGAAAGATCAGTAAAAAAGGGGTAGAGGTAGACCACGAAAGACGATGCTGGGTGGGCTGAATGATGGCATGGAGGGTTATCATCAAGAGAGCTGTCCAGGCAACCAGGTATCGTGATCTGTGGACACGCATTAGCGCCTACTCCAGTTGGCAGGGCACATGATGATGATGATCCATATTTTTAAAAAGCGAATATATTTTGAAGTTTTCTGAGATTTGCTGGTATAATTTAAAACAGTAGGGGCCTCATGGCTTTATATAGCTTAAGGCCGCATCAGGTCTGAATTTGGCCCTGTGATATACTCTGGATATCTTGAAACTACAGAAAAACAAATATCTTCTTCCTGAAGTTTTAGATTCTAACCACTTTGCTACAACGCTTTTCATGAGATTGTGAAGACATTGATGACATTTTCGGCTTCTTCAGGCTGAAGTGTTTTATCCAGGTCTGATCTTTGAGAAGAGTGTAATCCTGGAAGTTAAATACGAACAAAATATTATCTTTGTACACTTCATTCATTCATTCATTCATTCATTCATTCATTCATTCATTCATTCATTCATTCATTCATTCATTCATTCATTCATTCATTCATTTATTCATTTATTTGTCGCCTTTAATGTTAATTGCGCATCTCGCATATGGTAAAAGGCCCATATTTCTATTAGAGCTGTACCGAATATTCGCTTCGTATTCGCTTCGGGGCCGAATAGTGGACCTACTAGCTATTCGGTATTCGGCCGAATAGTGGCTGTCGGGCCGAATACGAATAGTGATTTCTGCATACACTGCGATGGACTAAAACAACTCTCATTAATATTGTCACAATTTATAGCCGACTTTTCTTGATTTTCGACGCGACACCCTTGTCATACGCACCCAGTTTTAGAACCTCTGCTGTAATGCCTCAGAGTCAGGCGCTGTTACCACGCAAACGGGTCGCCGTTTTTCCCGCTACGAAAGATTTAGGCATCGCTACTGTTGTGTTAAAGAAGGCATGAAGAAACTTGAAAGTGTATCTCTCTCTCTCTCTCTCTCTCTCTCTCTCTCTCTCTCTGTGTGTGTGTGTGTGTGTGTGTGTGCGTGTGTGTGTGAGAGAGAGAGAGAGAGAGAGAGACAAAGAGAGAGCATGCATTTTTTTGTTCTTTCGGGGTGCTTTTCCCAAATCAAATTAAAGATATTGCACACGAGAATATGGAGGTGCATTTAAATTACATCGAACGAACGCCTGAATGAAAATGATTTAAATGCGAATTTGGCACATGAATAAAATTAGATGAAAGATGCATTACTAAAATAAAAAACAAAATAGGACAGGCAAAAACTGCATTTTATTTTAAAAAAAAAAAAAAAGAACATCTTGTGCAATATATCGTTGTCTTGTATGCTACATACATCCAGTTTTAACATATGGCTATGAGTCCTGGACAATCGGTAGCCAGGCCAAACAATTTTTTGAGGCCTCAGAGATGTGGTTTTACAGAACAATGCTTAAAATACCTTGGACAGCCTAAAAAAAGCAACCACTAGGTTTTGAAAGAGGCGGGAGCCTGAAGACAACTAATCGCAGACATCAGAAGAAGACAGTCATCATTTTTCGGCCATCGTATAGAAAGAGTGAAAATGGAACATGTGGTGACGACTGGAAAGATTTGTGGAAGGAGAGATAGAAAAAGACAACGAGAGAAGATTCTTGACAGTCGTTGCATGTCATGGAGGTGTGTCAGCACACAAACTGATACATGCTGCAGGAGATCGCAGATTGTGGCGAGGCAAAATCGCCACACCAGTCGGCGAGGCACCTGATGATGATGATACAATATTCGTATTCGTATTTGGCCGAATAGTTGGTCCCACTATTCGTATTCGGCCGAATAGTGAAAACCACTATTCGGTACAGCCCTAATTTCTATAGAACAATCAGCACTCGATGTTTGATGTAGTCTTTAAAATAAAATTTTACAAATACATTTTTTTAAACCACAGAAGTTATAGGTAAGAGAAGAGATTGAAAAGGTTAAGAAAACATAAAATATATGTCATCTTAACTGCTTGGGGATTAGCCATGGTCAACACAATAACAACAATAAACAAAACACAACAAATAAACACATATATACTGACTCTGAAATGGCTACACTCAATATTAGGTTCTTGTCAAGTCTCCGTTACATGTCAAATAGATCCTACAGTGCAAGCAACTGAAGCGCAGTGGCTAGATCGAAAGGTCTTGGGTTCGAATCCGAATAAAAATTTTTGTTAAATAAATTACCTGGGTTTCCATTTAGACCTAGTCTAAAATAGGTATCAGGAAGATTACAATTAAACCGCCTTGGCGCTGACATTTGGACATCTCCGGCTGACACTTCCATGAGGTAACTGGGGAATAATGATGACGACAAGGAGGAGAAGACGAAGAAGAATATCAACAACAACAGAATCGGTCCAGAACATTTGAAAGTAATCTATACCTTGGTTGAAACTCAACATAAGATTACCTGGTACTTGCGAAAATAGCCATTGTTGTAAAGCCGGACGTCATTCCATGTTATACAGACACCAGCGTTTGTTTGAGCATTTACGGCTCTGAAAGGATTACAAATGAAAACTGAGAAAAATAATCGAAACCACATGGCCAGGCGTTATCAAACCGTTTGATTCCCTGAGAATGATTACATGAGAATTATTGATTGAATGTGATTCTATGAGAATTGTTTGGAGTTGACTCAGTAATAATGATTGCCTGAATTGAGGTTTTGAGGTTTGAACAACGGGTCAACGTCATTGCACATGGGTAGTAACCCATAAGTGCTCAGTTCCTCTTCTAACTTGAGTCTGAGTCCGAAGAAGCTCAGCACAGTGCACAGGCTCTGTAGCACCGGCGAGGATTCTGAAATACTTTCGGTAGATTGTTAACACCAAATTTTGCCCGGGCAGCCCCGTTAGGCTGCCAAGGGATTTTATTAAGTGTGCAACAATGCGTACGAGTATCCAATCTCACTATCCAGAGACCGGAGAGAATTATTAGAAGTCCAAGTCCACGTGAAAAAATCCCAGCCCTTATCAGGGATTGAACCCGGAACCTCTAGCACTCGAGGCGGACACCATGCCCCGAGACCACGTAGTCTGAATTTGATTCCTCAACTACACAGATCAAGTACACTGTTTCTAAGACTTTGTCAGTTGAAAACTCATTAGAGCTAACAAATGTTGTATATTTAGCCACGGTTTTGTACATAAGCAATTCAATACCTTGTTACGTCGGGTATATGTTATTATTGTTATATTTATGGACCAATATGTACTTGAGCATAGGCGCTGGAGCCTGGTGGCTCATGATCCTTGAGGGCGCCACCTTCCCCTTCCCCAAAAAAGGATTAGTTTTGGCTAAGCCACCTCCCCACGTTTTGAACTAATTTTATAAGGGGCACTAAAAAAGAGGGGGGGGGGGGCTTAGCCATGTACAGAAATTATCTTTACAAATATTTGTTTGATCATTTCATATTTTTTAAAGTATATTTTCATAGTTTTTGGCCATTCAGCAAATCAACAATAATAATATGTGTTAAATGGCAAATAAATTATTATAATCGAAATAATATGAGATGTATGAAATAATAAAAGATATACCCCCATATAATAAGAAATACGCCTTGAGAGAGATTTTCTTGGCAAGGTTAAAAGGAGTCTCGTAACCCTGGTACTGAAGAACTCTAGGGAAGGGGCGCTTCAGGCCTCAACCTCCAATGCTTTTTTTGTGTTGGCGAGCCTGTATTTGATGGTGATGAGTTCAATATTATACTAGTTGCCGACCTTCCATGTCCTATCTTGACACCAGTTTCAAGTTTGGTGGACCAGACAGCCCTAGCGAAGGGGACGCGTTAGGGCAGTCGATAGGAGACTTGCTTTCAAATCCAGTTTTGACTCGCTGCAGCCCACGGCCGGTATTTGAAACCGGGTGGTTCCCGGGGTTCACCCAGCCTCTAGGAAATGGGTACCAGAGTTAACACTCTGGGGTAAACGGACGAACGTCACCATAGCTACGGAGTTTCGTGCGGGCGGCGACACAGGTGAACAATTTCTTATCGGCTGTCTGTATTGGTGGCAGAATACTTATGGTTTATAACCGTGTACAATAACGCAGGTTCACCTTCCTGACTTTACCATTTTTTTTTAGAGAGCCCTAACTAAATTATTATAAACCCGTAGTGATACGGATTTGAACTTAAACCCCTAGGACCGACAGGCAAGCGTCAAGCCACTCGCCAGCGTAACAGTATTCAACATTATATCGCATAATGTTAGAAAATATGTATAATGTATAGCCCATATAAAAATCAGCAACTAAATTATATCACATGTTTGTCGGCAGACATAAAAATAATCACCGCTTATCCTTCTTTTTCTTCTTTTACACTCCATATCATATGACGCTAATACTCATGTAGTACTCATGTGGTATTTATTTTCCTAGCCGACACGTGTAGTCATTCTGCTGAGAAACAACCGACCCGGCTTCTTCGAGATACCAGCTAAGTGATTTTGTGTTTCTGTGTAGTATTATTTCATGTGTATGTGCTGATAAAGGCTCAATAGCCGCAACGTTCACGTTTTCTTTGTATTTATTATATTGTGAAATTTGCTTATATGCTTTTCGTTCGGTTTTATATCTTTTCTTGATACTCATGTAATTCCACAACCTTTTCATTTATTTTCATCTATTCCGAGCAGACGATCCTCCATTCTATTGACGCCACACTGCCCACTATCTTCTATCCGAGTCTGTCTACTTTTTATTTTCTTTCCTGTAACATGCTTATTGTCCCGATGTACTCTATCTTTCTCTTCTCACCCTGTGACTTAAGAATATTGATTGTCTCTTTCCTCTAATATGCTTGTTGTCTCGATATACTCCATTCTTCTCTTCTCACAATGTGACTGAAGAATGTTGATTATCTCTTTCCTCTAATATGCTTGTTGTCTCGATATATTCCATTCTTCTCTTTTTAAGAATGTTGATTGTCTCTTTCCTATGACTTGCTTGTTGTCTCAATGTACTCCATCCTTCTCTTCTCACCATGTGACTTAAGAATGTTGATTGTCTCTTTCCTATAACTTGCTTGTTGTCTCGATGTACTCCATCCTTCTCTTCTCACCATGTGACTTAAGAATGTTGATTGTCCAGAATGTTGATTGTCTCTTTCCTCTAATATGCTTGTTGTCTCGATATACTCCATTCTTCTCTTCTCACCATGTTACTTAAGAATGTTTATTGTCTTTTTCCTATAACTTGCTTGTTGTCTCGATATACTCCATTCTTCTCTTCTCACCATGTTACTTAAGAATGTTTATTGTCTTTTTCCTATAACTTGCTTGTTGTCTCGATATACTCCATTCTTCTCTTCTCACCATGTTACTTAAGAATGTTCATTGTCTTTTTCCTATAACTTGCTTGCTGTCTCGATATACTCCATTCTTCTCTTCTCACCATGTTACTTAAGAATGTTGATTGTCTCTTTCCTGTAACTTGCGTGTTGTCTCGATGTACTGCACCCTTCTCTTCTCACTACGTTAATTAAGAATGTTGATTGTCTCTTTCCTATAACTTGCTTGTTGTCTCGATGTACTCCACCCTTCTCTTCTCACCATGTAACAAGAATGTTGATTGTATCTTTCCTGTAACTTGCGTGTTGTCTCGATATACTCCACCCTTCTCTTCTCACGATGTAACAAGAATGTTGATTGTCTCTTTCCTGTAACTTGCGTGTTGTCTCGATGTACTGCACCCTTCTCTTCTCACTACGTTAATTAAGAATGTTGATTGTCTCTTTCCTATAACTTGCTTGTTGTCTCGATGTACTCCACCCTTCTCTTCTCACCATGTAACAAGAATGTTGATTGTATCTTTCCTGTAACTTGCGTGTTGTCTCGATGTACTCCACCCTTCTCTTCTCACGATGTGACTTGAGAATGTTTATTGTTTCTTTCCTATAACTTGGTTGTTGTCTTGATGTACTGCACCCTTCTCTTCTCACTACGTTAATTAAGAATGTTGATTGTCTCTTTCCTTTAACTTGCTTTTTGTCTCGATGTACTCCATCCTTCTCCTTTCACGATGTGACTTGAGAATGTTGTTTGTCTCTCTCTGATGCGGGTAGTCGGTTCTATTTGTGAACTAATTTTCGCAAAGACATCTCTGTTGAGACTTTATCTGTTTTTTGTGCTTTCACTCTTTGTCTACAAAATAGCACCTATGCCGCTTTTACATCATTGTTCACTAATAAGTTAAATGTCCACGATTCACTACCATACATTAGGATTGTCTCTCTCTCTCTCTCTCTCTCTCTCTCTCTCTCTCTCTCTCTCTCTCTCTCTCTTTCTCTCTCTCTCTCTCTCTATATATATATATATATATATATATATATATATATATATATATATAGAGAGAGAGAGAGAGAGAGAGAAAGAGAGAGAGAGTCGTCTTTCTCACCTCAGTAACAAAGCTCACGTACGCATCTATTATTCCATTATATCACGTGTGTTCATATATATATATATATATATATATATATATATATATATATATATATATATATATATATATGGAGTTGGTAGTCATGTATATATATATATATATATATATATATATATATATATATATATATATATATGACTACCAACTCCACATATATATATTAATATACACCAAACTACTGATTAGTTACTCCCAACAATTGTTCTTCGGTAACTGATTTGTCTATGTGTTTGAATATATTAAACAGACATTTCTGTTTTTTATATAGACGGAAACCTGCTACCTAGTTGAAGGTTTGGACATCCCAGTGACTCAGAAAAGCAATATCGTGAAGGCCAAGCCAAAAAAGACAAACTCCGCCTACTTCGGCAATCCCCCTAAGAAATTAAAATTAGAGCACATGTAACGACTACACGTGCAGGATCTGTGGCTTAGTGAATGCATTTCACAATTTCATGATCGTCGAGTACTAGGTTTCATTATCTGGATCGGCAATTAATGTTTTTTTCTCTAAAGGCGTGGTTTTCAGATATTAGTGCGAGACACTGAAATGTATTTTATAGAAAGCGAACAAAAGGAGCCGTTCCACAGATCTCTTCTTGCTCTGACACAGCGAGGCATTCCAGGGGTAGAGGAAACAAAAAGAATAAGAAGTAGAAGAAGTGCAAGAGCCACACCGAAGAAACGGTTTGTAGCCTTGTCACGTAATACTCTGAGAGACAACGGTGTGAATACTGCAGCCACCCTTCGTTATAAAGACAAGACGTATTTTTGATCCTCTAGATCAATTACTAACCCTGTGTACCCGCTGTCCCAGACAGATTTTAAAAGGAAACAAATTATAACAAACAGATAAAACACTGATATCAAACAGTTAACAAACCTGTAGGCACTTTGCATACTCTCAAAGCAGACCAGCAATTTATTTGCTCCTTTATTGATGGTGAAGAGGAATGGACCGAAGCTGTAACAAAGAAAATGTAGAAACAAAGAAGATACACACAAGAGACTGCACAGCCCATTGCCTGTCATTTGTCGCTGCACAAATGTACAAAAAAGTAACAAGTGATTACACTGAAGCAAATGAGTGAATCCTTCTGACACGCAGAATCACATACACTCATATCTCAAATATGAATCCTTTTGACTGACACACGGAATCACATACACTCATATCTCAAATATGATTCCTTCTGACTGATATGCAGAATCACATACACTCATATATAAAATATGAATCCTTCTGACTGACACACAGAATCACATACACTCATATCTCAAATATGAATCCTTCTGACTGATAAACAGAATCACATACACTCATATCTCAAATATGAATTCTTCTGACTGAAACACAGAATCACATAAACTCATATCTCAAATATGATTCCTTCTGACAGACATATAGAATCAGATTCACTCATATCTCAAATATGAATCCTTCTGACTGACACGCAGAATCACATACACTCATATCTCAAATATGAATCTTTTTGACTGATATACAGAATCACATACACTCATATCTCAAATATGAATCCTTCGGACTGACACACAGAATCACATACACTCATATCTCAAATATGAATCATTCTGACTGATATACAGAATCACATACACTCATCTCTCAAATATGAATCCTTCTGACTGACACACAGAATCACATACACTCATATCTCAAATATGAATTCTTCTGACTGATATACAGAAGGACATACACTCATATCTCAAATATGAATCCTTCTGACTGACATACATAGTCATATACACTTATATCTCAAATATAAATCCTTCTGACTGACGTACAGAATCACATACACTCATATCTCAAATATGATTCCTTCTGAATGACATATAGAATCAGATGCACTCATATATCTATATATATAAATCAATGTTTGTGTGTTTGTTTGGTCTCTATAGACTCGGAAACTACTAAACCGATTTAGCTGAAATTTTCAGGATATGTTTGTTGTGATACCGGATTTTGAACCGTCGTGGTTTGAAATTCAGCCTGTCACTGTTAGAGATAGGTGACCACAATTTATGCCAAAATATACGCAACTAATATTTATAACTTTAGTGATTTCTAATTATAGCCACGTTAATAATTGCGCATGCGCCGTATTTACCATTCGCCGGCGAGTTACGTGCAGCCAACGCCTTCTCTAATACCAATACATAGAGTAGGTCGTGGTACCGCAAACAAGACTATCTCTATATTTGCCACAATAACCATATTAAACACGATTTCTATTTTCTGGTTTTTTTTCCAAACAACCTTTGATGGGGAGGGGGGGCAAGGGGGGGGGGGGCAATCGAGGACTATCTCGACGTCGGCGCAGACAGTGACTGCGACATTAACTTCATTAACCGTGTTAGACACGTGTGATTTCTATTTCATTAATATATCTGGAGTATCTGTCTACGAGAAAACAATTGCCTGCGGTTTTGAATTGTGTTTTAATCGCGACACAGTGGTAGGGACACATATGTCTAATAGTTGTGTTCTCTTTTCGTTATTACGATTAAGTGGCTGCTTGGTCGAATGGTTAGAACACTGGGTTCAAGTGCGGTAGAACTGGGTTCGAATCCGCAGTAGTTAAATTTTTTTTTTACCCCGGACTAAAATAATATCCTCATCTGCTCTGTCGTGGTGACAGCACTAGCCATGTTGCCTTAATATTTAAAAAAAAAAAAAAAAAAAAAAAAAAAAAAAAGTAAATGGGTAAACCATTTGATAATTAAATTTGACCATTTCGCATACTTATGATTGCATTGTTAAACTTTCCGATTGTATGGTTACGCTGAAATTTTATAGATTTTCATTTATTTTCATTTAGATTTAGTTATTTCATCTGTGTTGAAATTTTAAGCTGTGCTGTTTACAATGGCGTTCATTTCCTAATTACGGTTTTTTTTTTTTTTCCTGTGTTCATTTGCTTTTTAAGTGTTTTTTTTTTTCTCCCAACTACTTCAAACTGTGGTGAAAAGAGTTGTCGGTGAATTGGGGGAAGAGGGGGGGGGGGGGCAAACTATTAACTGAGAGAGCTTTAAGTCACAGTAACTGCTTTACCCACTTAAAGTATCAGCAGCAGTAATAGTTGTGGTTGGGCTGTTACACCATAGTGCTCTCATGTGAAGACCGCCGGTAAGGTTATGGAGTTCTTCTGTCGGCAAGTGAAATTATACATCCTAACCTGACCAGTCTGTGGCGACAGCACTAGCCATGCGGAACCAAATCTTCTGGCTCACGACTCTCTGTCTACTCCGATGGTAACACAGATAGCAGTGACATTATTTTAGTAGTTGTACTGGTACTTGAAGGATGATGTGGTAAATATTTCACTAGCCATATTCACTACCTTTTACAATTCCTGCTCCTTATTTTAGTCCAGATAATCGGGGATGTCAATGTCAGTTACAGCAACAACAAAATATCGCCAGTTAGTGATTTTCAAATCCTTCGAAGAGGGAGAGAGCAGTAGTCGATGGAAGAGGGGAGGGGAGGGGGTAATGACTTAAATTTAAGAGAACTTAAAGAGCTTTACACGTGATTTTCAAGTTCTCATTACCTAATTTGTTTATATTTTACTAACGCTACCTCCGCTTTTCTATTTTTTACGACTTACGTTGTTATTTACAAGTACAGTTGTAGCTTTACTTCCGTCTCCTATAAAAATACATACAGCTTTAGCATGTGATAACCAAATAACCACTTTTGTTACCGTGCTAATAACACCATTTAAACGACCACTAATATAAAGACACAATTATATGGTGCGTGTTCTAAAGTTGGAAAAACAGACTATCTATCTATATATCTATACATATATATATATAAAAATCAATGTTTGTGTGTTTGTTTGGCCTCTATAGACTCGGAAACTACTGAATCGATTTAGCTGAAATTTTCAGGATATGTTTGTTGTGATACCGGATTTTGAACCGTCGTGGTTTTAATTTCAACCTGTCACTGTTAGAGATAGGTGACCACAATTTATGCCAAAATATACGCAACTAATATTTATAACTTTAGTGATTTCTAATTATAGCCACGTTAGTAATTGCGCATGCGCCGTATTTACCATTCGCCGTCGAGTTACGTGCAGCCAACGCCTTCTCTAATACTAATACATAGAGTAGGTCGTGGTACCGCAAACAAGACTATCTCTATATTTGCCACAATAACCATATTAAACACGATTTCTATTTTCTGTTTTTTTTTTCAAACAACCTTCGATGGGGGGGGGGGGGCAATCAAGGACTATCTCGACGTCGGCGCAGACATTGACTGCGTCATTAACTTCATTAGACAGGTGCGATTTCCATTGTCTTTCTTTTCTAAAAACCTTTGATGAGGGAGAGGGTACTAGGTGGATTTAGTTGTGGGGGGGGGGGGATCAAAGACTATCTCAAATTACGCCACAGCAACGCGTGGCCGGGTACAGCTAGTCTATATATATAAAAATCAATGTTTGTGTGTTTGTTTGGTCTCTATAGACTCGGAAACTACTGAACCGATTTACCTGAAATTTTCAGGATATGTTTGTTGTGATACCGGATTTTGAACTGTCGTGGTTTGAAATTCAACCTATCACTGTTAGAGATAGGTGACCACAATTTATGCCAAAATATACGCAACTAATATTTATAACTTTAGTGATTTCTAATTATAGCCATGTTAATAATTGCGCATGCGCCGTATTTACCATTCGCCAGCGAGTTACGTGCAGCCAACGCCTTCTCTAATACTAATACATAGAGTAGGTCGTGGTACCGCAAACAAGACTATCTCTATATTTACCACAATAACCATATTAAACACGATTTCTATTTTCTGTTTTTTTTTTCAAACAACCTTCGATGGGGGGAGGGGGGGGGGGGTGGGGGCAATCGAGGACTATCTCGACGTCGGCGCAGACAGTGACTGCGACATTAACTTCATTAACCGTGTTAGACACGTGTGATTTCTATTTCATTAATATATCTGGAGTATCTGTCTACGAGAAAACAATTGCCTGCGGTTTTGAATTGTGTTTTAATCGCGACACAGTGGTAGGGACACATATGTCTAATAGTTGTGTTCTCTTTTCGTTATTCCGATTAAGTGACTGCTTGGTCGAATGGTTAGAACACTGGGTTCAAGTGCGGTAGAACTGGGTTCAAATCCGCAGTAGTTAAATTTTTTTTTACCCCAGACTAAAATAATATCCTCATCTGCTCTGTCGTGGTGACAGCACTAGCCATGTTGCCTTAATATTTAAAAAAAAAAAAAAAAAAAAACCAGTAAATGGGTAAACCATTTGATAATTAAATTTGACCATTTCGCATACTTATGATTGCATTGTTAAACTTTCCGATTGTATGGTTAGGCTGAAATTTTATAGATTTTCATTTATTTTCATTTAGATTTAGTTATTTCATCTGTGTTGGAATTTTAAGCTGTGCTGTTTACAATGGCGTTCATTTCCTAATTATGGGTTGTTTTTTTTTCCTGTGTTCATTTGCTTTTCAAGTGGGTTTTTTTCTCCCAACTACTTCAATGTGGGAAAGAGTTGTCGGTGAATTTGGGGGGAGGGGGGGGGGGGCAAACTATTAACTGAGAGAGCTTTAAGTCACAGTAACTGCTTTACCCACTTAAAGTATCAGCAGCAGTAATAGTTGTGGTTGGGCTGTTACACCATAGTGCTCTCATGTGAAGACCGCCGGTAAGGTTATGGAGTTCTTCTGTCGGCAAGTGAAATTATACATCCTAACCTGACCAGTCTGTGGCGACAGCACTAGCCATGCGGAACCAAATCTTCTGGCTCACGACTCTCTGTCTACTCCGATGGTAACACAGATAGCAGTGACATTATTTTAGTAGTTGTACTGGTACTTGAAGGATGATGTGGTAAATATTTCACTAGCCCTATTCACTACCTTTTACAATTCCTGCTCCTTATTTTAGTCCAGATGGACAGGGATGTCAATGTCAGTTACAGCAACAACAAAATATCGCCAGTTAGTGATTTTCAAATCCTTCGAAGAGGGAGAGAGCAGTAGTCGGTGGAAGAGGGGATGGGAGGGGGTAATGACTTAAATTTAAGAGAACTTAAAGAGCTTTACGCGTGATTTTCAAGTTCTCATTACCTAATTTGTTTATATTTTACTAACGCTACCTCCGCTTTTCTATTTTTTACGACTTACTTTGTTATTTACAAGTACAGTTGTAGCTTTACTTCCGTCTCCTATAAAAATACATACAGCTTTAGCATGTGATAACCAAATAACCACTTTTGTTACCGTGCTAATAACACCATTTAAACGACCACTAATATAAAGACACAATTATATGGTGCGTGTTCTAAAGTTGGAAAAACAGACTATCTATCTATATATCTATATCTATATATCTATAAATCAATGTTTGTGTGTTTGTTTGGCCTCTATAGACTCGGAAATTACTGAACCGATTTAGCTGAAATTTTCAGGATATGTTTGTTGTGATACCGGATTTTGAACCGTCGTGGTTTGAAATTCAACCTGTCACTGTTAGAGATAGGTGACCACAATTTATGCCAAAATATACGCAACTAATATTTATAACTTTAGTGATTTCTAATTATAGCCACGTTAGTAATTGCGCATGCGCCGTATTTACCATTCGCCGGCGAGTTACGTGCAGCCAACACCTTCTCTAATACTAATACATAGAGTAGGTCGTGGTACCGCAAACAAGACTATCTCTATATTTGCCACAATAACCATATTAAACACGATTTCTATTTTCTGTTTTTTTTTTCAAACAACCTTCGATGGGGGGGGGTGGGGGGGGGGGGGGTGGGGGGGGGGTGAGGGGCAATCATGGACTATCTCGACATCGGCGCAGACATTGACTGCGTCATTAACTTCATTAGACAGGTGCGATTTGCATTGTCTTTCTTTTCTAAAAACCTTTGATGAGGAAGAGGGTACTAGGTGGATTTAGTTGTGGGGGGGAGGGGTGGGGGGATCAAAGACTATCTCAAATTACGCCACAGCAACGCGTGGCCGGGTACAGCTAGTGAAATATAAATCCTTCTTACTGACACACAGAAACACATACACTTATGTCTCAAACATGAATCCTTGTGATTAACATACAGAGTTATATACACTTATTTCTCAAATATGAGTCCTTCTTACTGACATACAGAATCACATACACTTGTGTCTCAAATATTAATCCTTGTGACTAACATACAGAGTTAGATACACTTATTTCTCAAATATGAGTCCTTCTTACTGACATACTGAATCACATACACTCATAACTCAAATGCAACGTCCCATTTTGAGTCCCAGGGTCCTATTGTTGCGTTCTCTTACGAAGTATGTTTACCTTAGTCTGATTTCCTCAGTGGGATAGGAGAGGAATGGCATCAACGAAGTCTAGATCTTCAAGTTTTCGTAGGCGTTAACTGAACTCCATACATGGTGGTTGGCGTTGCTGTCTTCATAACCCCGCTTCTAAAAGCTTTAACTACATATTTTATAGACAAATGATGAAAATACACTGGACAGATCAAAAGAGTAATGAAGGTGTCTTGAAAAAAAAAAACTGAGTACATCGCGACAGCAGGAAAGTTGGAGGGGAGGAGAAGCAGAGGGAGACCGAGAGAAAAGATAATGGACAGTTTGACATCATGGTATGGACGATCAAAGATGATTGAATGAACATGAGACAGAAGGTTGTGGATAGACATGACTACCAGCTCCACACGACATGGGCATTCAGAAAACCTACATAAATTTAACCGCTCTAAGATCAGATTCGCGAAACCACTTACGTGACCAGTAGTGAACCAGTGAGAAACGATAACATAACGCAGTTTACGGGAACAAGACCGTCCCAGATAATACACTTAGGAGCAGAAGATCAAATGGTTTGGTCATCTGGATAGAACGTAGTCACAACAACTACCGACACGGGCGCTACTCCTAAAATATCTTAATGCAAGAGACCCGCCAAGGCTAGAATTGACTGGTATTAAAGGCAATATACATCCGCATGGAATCACAATGGTCAACATCCAAGACCCCGGAACCACAAACTGTTTTTCCCACTGAGCTTAACGGGAAAAAAAGTGGAAGCTGACGAACAAGATGGATCTGTATTATATGGATATTACCTTTGAAGCCATTCACAGACGTTGTCAGCGTTGTACCTGCGAGCGTCCCACCAAACCAATACACACGGTTTTGGTAAGTAGACGGAAAGCTTCCTTGATTTATTTCCTGCCACGTTGTCAACTATTTCTCTGGAACCAGAAAAACGAAAAATAAAAAACTATGAACGAGTTGAAATTTAGTCTTCCACCCAAGAGTTAATAGTCTCATATTGTCTAAGATATATACATATGCATTATCACTTCTTTCTTTAATATATATATATATATATATATATATATATATATATATATATATATATATATATATATATATATATATATGGCATAAAAATAGTACTTTTTATATACTATTATATTACTTATTACTTCACTTGCGTACGATAAGAAATTTGTTCTAAACAGATACAAATAATTTACCATATTGTCTATTGAATGCAAACATGTATGCTAAAGAACAGAAAAGGCATGTCTGTCAGTCTGTTAACAAATTTTTAGGCAACATACAATTCTTCTCAAACGATGACCAGTAGACGGGTTTAATTTGGAGGGGCCATTATAGCTGAATTTAACAGCAGTATTAGCGGCAAGGTTTATGCGCATTTCTGATAATTACCTCCACAATCAACGAAAGGTAATTTTTGCAGGAGTTAATCACTTTAAATATTTATCTTCTCTTACATCCCTTTAAAAGAAGTTTCTAACAAAACTGTATTGTTATCTCTCTTGAGATTAGGAGTCCGCTGTTTTCTTTTAGCTGAGAGGCGTTAAACAAGGTGTCTGTATGCAAATCAGCCGGATCTGTTATACGGATGTGCATGCAAAAGATCAAGTTCTGTATCACGTCAAAGATCCAGTGGTGGACAAACAACAAAACTTTTCGCACATATAAGAGACAATATGTGTGGCTGTCTGCCAGATTGTTAAATGCATGTGTTAGCATTACCCTGTTGCAAGAGCCTCGGGGTAGTGACTAAACATACGGTAGCGATAGAGATAAAGATAAAATAGAGGACTGGAGATTCAATAAAGGATATTAGACACACTTTTCAGCATATATTGTGAACATGTTGTGGTAAAAACAATTAGTGATTCGGCCTGTTACAGCTTCAAACCACTTACAGTTGAAGGCAAAATTTTCCAAGAACTCAGCTATGCAGATTTCTTTAGACCATTGTTTCCATGTGTGGGAGTTAACATCCCGTTGGAGACATTGGGGCGGTAGAAGAGGCGGTAATTTAATCAGTCCGAATTGTAAACCTAACTCGCCATCGGGAGGTGGTGGGGTGGTGGGAGCCACATATAGCGAGCAGTCTGCATACAAATGAAATCTGTCATTCCAATATGCGTGTGAAACTCAAGTTGAGGAACAAGACTAAAGTCCAGATGTCGACGAGAAACCCAAACCTTTCGCGGGAGGTTACAGGCCGTGACCAAGTAGAAGAAGAATTTCCCGTCATACTTCCAGCGAGGTGAGAGCCTTGAAAGTGATGTGTTGGTAGTTCGTGGCCTCCAGGAATGTAGTCCGCAGGATTAAAACATAATGGATGAGATGCTACATGTTAAAACAAATTTGACTGGCATTATGCTTAACATTGTGAGTGAGTGACGTTCAACCCCACAGCGAATGACATACACCAGGCGACATAAATTGCCACAAGTCGGATGAGAAGTCCCAGAAACCTTGTTCAACAGTTAGGTTAGGTTAGGGCCCCCCGACAACATAGTGGTAGGGCTTTAAAATTTGCCCCCCCCCCCCCCCCAAAAAAAAAATTAGGTCCTATTTTTTTTTTTTTTTGCGAGGTTACCACTGTGTGCTTTAAATTTAATTATCTTGTATTTAATTATCATTGTATAATACTGGTGTTGCGAACTTAGATATTTATCAGGTTTTCCGCAATGCAATGGTTAACACATCGGCCAACTACTTCATCAACAAAGCCCGTACACGCAAAATTTAAAGCCTACCAGGACATAGGGTAAATATCGACTGCAAAAATTCGTACCAGACAAACAAACAAAATCGAACTCAATAAAGCTTATACAAAGCTTACTTGAAAAAACAAAAACAAATGACATCTCGACTAACAAATGCGTGTGGAATTCGTATTTGTAACCCAAAAAAGGCAACAAGAAGAAGAAGATAATGCTGATGATAGCGGTGGTGGTAATGATGAGAATGAAAATGATAAAGAAAGAAATTAAGAGGGAGGAGGATGAGGAGGAGGAATAATGATCAATAATGTAATCAAATCTTGAATGTTGAATTAGGAATCGACATCACAGCACTCTTGACACCTCCATAAGCTCTTCGTCCCCATCTTCAACAGCAAGCGAACAGTTACAATTCTGAAGTCATCAGTAACTGTCTGATTGTATATCCATCTCGTCTTTTCCCTAAGTGTTGAGCGCCGGTCAGATCCCCTTGTTACTCCTCGCAGTGCCCTTCTTTCCAGACCGTAATGATCTATCTGTTCATCAGCACTGTTCACTCGCTCCCAAAGAGCCATCACAATATCCAGCTTGTCATACATCAGTTCACCACCAAGTGGTGCAGAGCCAGCCAGTCTAACTACCTGCTCATTTCCCAACACACCGGCATCACCTGGAAAAAATATCCAAAGGATGCTAACTACCCGGGACTAACGTAAACCCAATGACGGCGATAATGAGGAATACGAAGTTTAATTACACTACCTTAGCGTCAGTGGTTTAGAAATATATGGCAGTATCGCAGATTCAATACCTAATAGATGAAAGGCGACAAGAATATACAGTTTAGTCATTATATAAGGCAAAAAGAACATATGAACAACAAGATGTACGTATAAGAACTTGATTCTCAGATCTACCCAGCTTCAAATTGGTACCAGGTTAAGCTCTAGGAAGTAAGTTCGGCTAGCGTGATGTTGACCAGACACTTGAACGAGAGCCGATATATATATATATATATATCTTCTTCACGTTCGACTGCTGTAAGCTCCGGCTGAAAGTTATGGTTGTTCGTCCACTTCTGGACTCCAATCCTGTTCCAGAACCTGTGTTACGTGGGCATCCGTTTTACAGATCTGACTAATTTGGTGCGGATTGTTGGTTCCTTGCCTCTCAGGCAGATACACTCCGAATTCAAAGGAAGCTCACAATTAGTCGACTCTTACGACATGCTTTTGAGTAGGCAGTGGGTCTATTCCCCCCCCCCCCCATATTTGTTTTTATATTTCGTAATGCTTATAATACAATATTGTATATTTTAGCCATTAAGACATTTAGCGCGCGTGCAAGCACACACACACACACACACACACATACATAGACACAAATTTATGTTTGTATATAGTGTGTATATATATATATATATATATATATATATATATATATATATATATATATATATATATATATATATATATATATGCTCTTAAAAAGGCATAGGCCCTTTGCAGCCGTCCAATGAATTTTTATGTGGCTTACTCTCTCATCCCTAATGTTTCATTTTTATTTATGCAAGGGGGGGGGGGGGGGGGGGGGGGGGATGCTCCTGTCAAATGCTGGTATTACTGATGTTATGTGACTAACGTTCACCCACCCCCCCCCCTCCTTTTTTTCTAATTCACAACTGCTCCATATCATACAGACACACGGCAGTTGGTATTATGGGTATACTTACAACCACAGGCGGACGACTTGACGTCCTTTGTTTTGCTGAAGCCTTTGACCGACCCGCCTTCCACTTGACTGATCTTGCCAAAGGAGACCTGATTTAGAATCAATATTATTTACAACTGGGTGAAGCTGCTGAAAGAGCTTTGAGTTGGTTATAGACACAACGGAACGACGTAGGGAAATAGGCCTCGGTAGACTTGTCTGAGCTCCTAGTGGAAAAGAGCTTTTAAATACCTAAAGCCCAAGTTGTCTGATCAACGTCTGCCCGTGATACTGCCAGCGGGTAAATTCTGTCTCTCTTTTAACAGATCTGTCAATTTCCAACATGTTACTATCTTCACTAGGGGGTGCTACACATTTATGTAACATAGAGATTACTTTGTGAGTGCAGCAGTGTATACATCAAATGAACCTGGCACATTCCATTTAAAAATTGTCTTTTTTTCTCTATTCAGGAAAGACATGGTGTTTACAAATCACCCACCTAATGCCGATGGTTTCTAAAAAAAATAAAGGTCTAGTTCTAAATTTTCAATATACCAAAAACATGAAAGGGGTCCCATTTAAAAAAAAAAAATATTTTAACACTTTTTTCAAAATCGAAAAAGAGATCGAAAAAGTCGAAAAACAGCTAAAAAGTCTTCGTTAGCTGAAACTTTTGTTACCTGGGTCAGTCGTTAGTCGAAGTAACAATGTAGTCTTGCACACCCATTTTTACATTTGCTTCAAACACTTCTGCGCACACTCTCATACTCGCATACACACAATCAAGTACAGTTTATATTCTACAAGAGACCCCCCCCCCCTTCCCCCTTTTGTGTGTGTGTGTGTGTGTGGTAATAATCCATGTCGTGTGGCTTTGGACATCGTGACTATCCACATCCCTCTGCTGCATGCACTACCAACCATCTCTGAAAAGATGTTCTTCCAATAAATGACGCCAAAATTCGCTCTTAATCTTTCGCCATCTCTTTCCTCCGACTTTCCTGTTGCTACAACATATTCTAGTATTTCTCTTCTCACGATTGCCACAGGAATGTAGATTGTCGTCTTCTGATGTAGATAAATATCTCTGTCTAATAATTTACTTATTTCAAGAATTCCCTGGCAATGTAAAAAACCACTGCTTTTTTATTCTATACATCTCGACAGCTTTCAAATTATTTCTGCCAACTTGCTGGCTGTCCATTATTCACTCCCATACACCCGAATTTTGTCGTAAACAAAAAGCAACAATAAAAGCCCAGACTTAACAGTTATTGCTTCAAACTGTCTGTGTCTACATGTTTATTTTACTTTCCTAGTTGTACATAGGCCGCGTTTGTGGCTTAGACGTTTCGAACGAGCAGTTAGTAGTTGTTTATCCTTTACAGGACGTTGCAGAACCAACCCAAGCATTCTTTGACTGTTGTGGTTTTTCTAGGCAAATTAACGTTCAGTTGCTCCCCTTTGCCCCTGAACGGTCAGCTTGCGGTACCACTGTAGAAACCAACGCAAAACTAACCATCCGCACCTGGGATCAAACCCGTCATTCCAGCATTACGAAGCGCGTTCGCAACGCCTAATCCGGTAAAGAAAGGTTATTGAAATAAGTTTACTCAGGAGAAAACTTTTTGAAAATGGAAATCGTCAGGGACCAGAGGCCAAAGCCAACTCTCTCATTGTCGCGATAGACTCCAGTTTTCTGCTTCTCATGACATGACCAAATAATGTAGATAGTCTCTTTCTGATATGGGCAATCAGTTTTCTTAGTGAGTCAGTTTTTTTCAAGACATTTTCATTACTCATGTTAAAAATGTATGCATTAACCGGAGGAACTAAACATCTTATTGCGTCGCATACTTGCATTCAAAGCATTTCTTGAGTATTTGCTTCATACGTTTAAACTGGGAAGCCGCCATGGTGTAGAACTAGACACTCGTCTGCGCATTCAAAAAATCTTTCTGCTGCTAGGTCGACCCAGCCTTAAATGGATACCAGGTAAAGAATAAGAAATAAAGGCGGCCGATGTTATGTTGACCACCCACCGAGTGCCAACTGGTCTATAAATTTAAGTCTAGCCCTATATGCCCAATACGCCTGAGAGAATGGAAAAGCGACCTCAAATTTTTTTTTAACTGTTACCTTGTAATTGTGAGACGCAGATAAGCAGTGATAGGGGGATTTGTTAAGTGTAGTGAATGGAACAAAATCCGTTAAATTCATTCGCTGAAGGGCTCCCATAGCATCGAATGTCTTCTTCCAGGTTTCTGCTTCAAATTTCCAGTTCTGTAATGCGTCAGCACTTTCCTTCTGCCCAACTCTTGGACTATGCTTGAAGCATCTCAGCTCTGAAGAGAGGTTAACCATGGTGCTGTAACATCGGAACACAGAGAGGTTAACCATAGTGCTGTAACATCAGAACAAAGAGAAGTTAAAAATAGTGCTGTAATATCAGAACAAAGAGAAGTTAACCATAGTGCTGTAACATCAGAACAAAGAGAAGTTAAAAATAGTGCTGTAATATCAGAACAAAGTGAAGTTAACCATAGTGCTGTAACATTAGAACAAAGAGAAGTTAACCATAGTGCTGTACCATCAGAACAAAGAGAAGTTAACCACAGTGATGTAACATTAGAACAAAGAGAAGTTAACCATAGGGCTGTAACATCAGAACAAAGAGAAGTTAACCATAGTGCTGTAACATCGGAACAAAGAGAAGTTAACCATAGTGATGTAAGATCAGAACATGGAGGGTTTAAACATAGTTCTGTACAATAGAAACATGGAGGGGTTAACGATAATGCTCTACCATTGGAACATGAAGGGGTTAACCATAGTGCTGTAACATTGGAACAAAGAGAGGTTAACCATGGTGCTGCAACATTGAAACAAAGGGAGGTTTACTATATTGCTGTAACACGAACACAAAGATAGGTTAACCATGGTGCTGTAAAATCGGAACAAAGAGGGGTAATAAAACGTGGACAAAACGAAAATATTAAGAGAAGCGTTTTCCTGTTGTTAATTTAAATGATGAAAGCACAGTAAATTTGCTGTGCAATCTATTGTCAAGTTTATGTTTCTGTATTTTGTCAGATTCATACTACAGACTTTCATTAATATATAAATCATCATCATCATCATCATCATTATCGTTATTATGTTCCCTGCTCAGCCGCGTAGGCAATCGTGTCTCTGCATAGACCTTGGTTCTCGGTAATCTGAATCCATTGTACTGACGATATTCCGACATGTCATCGCTTTAGCTGTCAAGCTTCTGCATCCTATACCACTGATCTTGCCAGTCATCAACATGTTCTAAAATGCCGGTTTTCTCGACACATGACCGAAGAACACTGACTATCTCCTTTCTTCTAGTTGTATTTAGTTGCATTTTTGTTATTTCAGTAGCCATTGTTCAAGCAATCATCAGCAAACGCCCCCCCCCCCTTTCCCACCCACCCCTCGTCCACCCAATTATTGCGATTCTGTGATAAATTCACGTTCCTGTTAATACTACGAATATTACCAGAAGCTGAATGGAAAAACTTACTATTTCTTTTAGTACCAGAGAACTCGCTATACGGTTACTCTGAATTAAGTTCTCAATGTTAGCCACTCCATCAGTCCCGAAACACCCAGAACTGGCCCTAACCACAACCCATCCCCTCCACCTACATCCCACGAGAGAGTGCAGCCTATGTCCCATGAGATAGTGTAGCCTATGTCCCACGAGAGAGTGCAGCCTATGTCCCACGAGAGAGTGCGGCCTATGTCCAGTTCTGCATGTTTCGGGACCGTTAAAAGCGCTCAAATCCTGTAATATAAAACACGCTTTATCGCTGGCCGATCACAACTTGTAAAAAGCTGCGTGTTGTTGACCGGTCACTAAGCTTGACATCCCTGCAACATATCACAAGTCCTGCGACACATCAGTTTATGAGTTGAATTGAATCAAGAATGGACAACACAGCACTCGTGGCATTCTTATGTGTGCTCCGTCCTCATTCTCCAGTGCAGAGTTCCAATACTAATGGTACCCGTCACAATCGGGTTATGTGTCCATCTTGCCTTTCCTCAGAGTGTAGAGAGCCGGCCAGACCCTCTGGTTACACCTAGGTGCTCATTCTCTCCAGGCAATAATAATCTTATTTCTCTACTGATTCCGTTGTTTGTTCCCAAAGGGCCTTGACCACATCTGCCTTGTCATGTATCAATTCACCACCCAGTGGTGCAGATCCAGCCAATCTGTCTGCCTGTTCATTACCCACTACACCGGATGTGATGTCACTTCTTGGCTAAATAACTCAACTCGAGACCGCAAAACAGCGAAATCTTTCCTAATTAGCCAACAAATTCGTTAGTCGGGTCACTCATTAACCAGATAACTCATTAGCAAAAGCATCACTGCAATTACGCAATTGACCCTTTCAAGTCAGAGACGACCAAGTTTATGAAGACAGACTTTTTTAAAACTCAATTGGCATTCTATGTGTGGGGTTGTTAATGGGCGTCTTTATTTCCAGATGACATTTCCTGGTGCCGATTTGAGGCTGGTTTGATCTGGGAGAGCATACCAGAAGAATGAAGCAGAAAAAGTACAGAAATGTACTTTTATAAAATGTAACCAATCAAGGTATTCTGAGTTCTCTAATACTGAAGTACAGTACCTTACTGTGGCAAGTGATGCCTGACTTTTCTGGAACAGTGACTTTTTGAAGTCTGCTTTACTGAAGACGCTCAGATGAGATTTATTAGGTCTGGACATTTTCCCTTTTCTGGTTTATGGTATCTTGCAATCCGCGATATTAGTGTTTACTAGAAACAAAATCAGAATAACAGACCAAATGAACGTAAGACATAACAGTAATTAGAATCGCAGTTTTACTTAAAATGCCGCTATGTGCATTGTATTTGTACAGAACTGTAACAGTTACTAAACACAATACGTCCCAATGTTGGGGTTTTTTGTTGCTTCTAAAGTCCTCTTGCTGTTGACAGGGTCTCTAATGTAATGCAACCTATGGGTTGAACGGGGTTTAAGTGGCCTGTCCCTGGGTGATCCTCATTCTAAAGGTAGCACTTTGTGTCACTGGGTGTTTATCGCTCAGTGTGATGTCCTTGTGTATTTGAACGTCATTATCATCTGTAACAATTATATGTCCATTAAAAATCCCTAAGAAAGTGCAAATCCTGTTATTTTCCCCTTGAATATGCCATTTGGAAGTACGTGGACAACACAGAAGAACGAGCAAATCACAACAGTGTAATGGAATCATAACCATCAATTGCCCAACAGATAAGCGTAGTCGTTTATGAGTAATCATCCTACAGGATCAGGGCTATGCTCTTGTTTTGCCCTATCCGTATGACCAAGCCATCCAGTGATTCATGTCATTGCCTTCCGCTTGATTTTTTTCCATCTACCTTGCCAGTTGTAACCAAATTCCTGAAACAATTAATTTTCTTTACATAAAAACACACACAAGATTCTCACTACCGGAGGCCTCTCATACAATCCTTATTCCTTTTCACGGCGCATGCCTTATCCACTTTTTTTTTTCAGCATAAATCGTGTCTGTTACAGTCATGACATGTATGTGTGCAGCTGGGGGGGGGGGGGTCTACTTTTTAGTCTATAGAGGCCGGCTAAGATTGAAAACTTAAAAAGGGAAATCAATAAAGTGACAGTCACGGCGGGCTACGTCACACAGACGTCATGGCCATTATTGTTATAATTTTTTTTTTTTTTTTTGGAATGTTGAATGTTGAATTAGGAATCGACATCACAGCACTCGGGACACTGCCATAAGTGCTCAGTCCCCATCTTCAGCAGAAAGCGTAGAGTTCCAATTCCTATGGTACCAGTAACCGTCTGATTGTATATCCGTCTAATAGCTCTCCTGAGTGTTGAGCTTCGGCCAGATCCCCTGGTAACTTCTCGCAGCGCTATTCTCCTCAGACCGTAATGATCTATTTGCGCCTCTCGGCTGTTCACTAGCTCCCAAAGGGCCCTCAAAATATCTTACTTGTCATACATCAATTCACCACCAAGTGGTGCAGAGCCAGCCAGTCTATCCAAAGGATGCTAACTACCCGGGATTTCTGAAGTAAGGCTGGTCACTCTGCATGAAGCACACCTGTGTTCACCTTTCTCAACATGCTCTAAGTCAGTTACAATCACGGCATGTGTGTACAGCTGATTCTCAAGCTAGCGAAAGGCAGCAGAGATTACCTCCACCTCCATTCTCAAACCCCATGTATTTCGTCAGCCCCTCTTGCCACTTTCTCCGTTGCCACCTGAAAATGGTATTAAGCACAGAGCACGTACTACGTAGCTCCGGCCATCAGTTGTTTAAGAGAATGCATTGAGTATTGCGATATCGGTTCTTTACCTGCAACTGGAACCCCACCCCAGTCCCATTATATATATTTTTTTTAAAGTAAAGTTAATGTCGATCACGATAAAAACAATGCCAACCTAAATAGTAAAATCAAAAGAGAAGAAACAAAAAACGTTGAATATCTCAGGCTTCAAATTATTCACAATGAGGACTGCCAAAAGAAGTCGGAAAACTCGACACTGCAATGCACAGACTGAACAGCACGAAGAACCTATGATACAAAACAAGTAAACAAATAAAAGTAAGCATTTCGAGAACACTGTGACTTACCATGCATGTCGCAAAAGACGACTAAGGGGTGAGGTGTGAGACTGGCTATCTTCTTTCGTAGAATACTTCTGCTGCTAAACCCAATTAACAATCGACAAAGTCAACAAGGAGTTTGGCGTGAGTTGACTAGTGCCATTTTGAGATTTATGGTATGAGAGGAATATGATAGTGATTATGATTATGATGACGATGATAAATGGCATGATGATGACACAACGACGATGATGACGATATTGACGATGATGACGGTTGTGGCGATGATAAAGATGATGATGAAGAAGTTGAGTAGGACCCATATTTACTTTGCTTCATTTCGTTTCTACACAGTGCAGTTAGTAATATCAATGTTCTGTGTGTGTTCACCATTGCTGAAAGACCCATGATCTTCAACCTCAAAATATAATGTCATCCATAAAGACTTTTATTTACAACATACATTTTTGACTGAAGTACATCTTTGAAAGTTTCTTTTCTAGAAACTAGTACCAAGGTACTTACTTGAAGGTACCTGCTTAAAAATCGTACTTTCTCTTTGTATATTTTAATTTTCCACACCAGTGTTTTCTACACATCTCCGAAAATTCAGAATCTGTGTGTGTGTGTGTGTGTGTGTGTGCGTGCGTGTGTGCGTGCGTGCTTGCATGAGTGTGTGTGTGTGTGTGTATACGTGTGTGTGTGCGTGCGTGCTTCACGTGTGTGTATGTGTGTGCGCGCGCGCAGGGAAGGGAAGGGAAAAAAAGGGGGCGGAGGGGATGTGACGCCTTGGCAGTTTTTCATGTCACCTTTCTGGTGTTTTAATAGTGTGTAGTGTATTTTGTTCTGCGCTATTATCTGCCAGTGCGGTACTTACTGTGTATCGTGACATGTGTCGTCTTTAATTATGCATGAGGTCATCTGGTTCTCTCATTCGTCTGATGACTTTCTATGGCAACATAAAGGAACAGGTACAGGTCGCTTTGCTTCCGTCTCGATGTAACTGATAGACCTGAGTTTGACACACGGTATAAGGTGAAGATATTATTTGGTGTCTCGTAGATAAAAATAAAAATCCTAACCTGCACATTTAGTAGCGACTGCACTTGTCATGCTGCCTTACATCTTCAGGTTAACGAATTACCTTTCCTACATCGTCCTAAAAGTTATAAGTACTGACAGTAAAGACTTCTAGGGAAGAAGATATGGCCTTTTGAGTTAAAATGCGAAAAAAAAAAAAAGATTAGCAAAATACCGCGGACAAAGAAGAGAAGAAATATTGACATTCTTAAAGATCTTAACGTCAGAAAGGTTATCTAATAAACAGCATCTTGTCTCGGAAACTGAAATATTTTGGCTATATCAAGCACCACAGGGGATTAGAAGAAAAAATCAATAGCAAATTGCATGGCGCCAGGAAGGAGGGACAGGGGTCGACCGATACGAAGATGGGCACATGATACCAGAAGTTCCTTGGATATGAAAGTGCACTATGTGGGAGAGCTAGTCAGAGACTGAGTTTCTTGCAGGCAAGGCAGACAGTCATGAGAGCGACGTTCTACATAGGACCTGCGACATGACGATAAGCTAATTCTTGTAATGCATCTGTAATTCCTCTTCAAAGGAGTAGTAGAAAGGAACTTTATATCTTCTTCTTCTTCATCATCACGAGCCCTTGAGGTTTATTGCTGCATACATTACCCAGCTTCATTCATCTCTGGTTAGTCTTCTCTTTCCAGTTGGTGATACCAAGTGTTTGCAGGTCTGCCTGGACATTATCTCTCCTTTGTCTGCTTGGTCTGCCTCTTGGTCTACGACCATTCATCTCCCTTGCGTATACAGTTTTTACTTCTCTGTTATCTGACATTATTTCAATATGCCCCAACCATTATGAGCTTTATATGCAGCTTTTAATTGCATTTCATAGTTACATTCTACTGTTTCTGATTTAGGGAGCTTAAAGAAAAACTCTCTTTTTCCACCTGCACTTGCACATAGTAAGGAAAACGTGAAGTAATGTTCAACGCACTTGCTTTAAAGAGGGTTTCATCTTCAATGTTCTTAATTTTTTCTTTTCTTTCATCTTGTACCTCAGCGATGTGTCTGAAGAAAATTTATTATTCGTTGATAAGCTCTGTCAAGAGCACTATTAAGATTGAATTTCATTTCTGTAAGTCTTTTCTTTGTGCCATCACTCTATATTTTACGAGGTCTTTCCCTCGCTCTACACCCGTTGTAATGTTTTAGTGTGGCTCGCTGTGGTAGATGGTACCAGAGCATTCTTTTTAGACGTCCAAACCACTTTCTTTCGTTGTTCTCTGATGACCTGCAAGATTTGCTCTATTCCTAGCATTCGTCTAATTTCGTGATTTCGTATTCTCTGTATTTACCTAAAACTCCTGCAGCTCTTCTAAGGCATTTCATCTCTCTTGTGACAATGTTACGTTCCTTACAGGATGTAAGTGTCCACGTCTGACACTGATAGCATACTGTTGGCCAACAAATAGTTATGATAAGATTCATTTTAGTACCCCACTGTTTGTGTGTCAACAGGGGAGATTATTGCCACAGTACTTCATTGGGTTTGGTACAGCCCGAGCTAATTTCTGTGTTCAGTTTTCCATCGAATGTGAGAATTACGCCCAAATACTTTAATTACTCTGTCTTAAGGCGTTGTTTTTTTAATTTTATTTCTAAATAGTCTTTCTGTCTTCTTATCACAATTAGTAATTCTGTAATATTTTTTTCATGATCAAAATACGTTTCCTTACACACAATATCCATGTGTGTGACAAAAAGAAGTGGCTGTAGCACACAGCCCCGACGCACATCAGAGTTCACTATAAATGTTCTAGGCAATCCTGCCTTCGATCTTATGCAGCAATTACTACGTGTGTATAGGCTTTTGCAAACATTAATGAGATGGTTTTTCTTAACTTTACTAGTTTATATTTAAAAATTAAAATTAATAGGGTGTTTCTTGAGTGGGTTTGGGTCTCAATGGAAAGGCGTGGGGGAGAAGACTAACTGCCCCTTAAAAAAAGGAAGTCGTATAAATCAACCAATTAAACATTTGCTGAAATCAGATGTGTTAGGCCTGAAGGCTTAGATGCCGCAGACT